CCACAGAAGGGAGGGGAAGGTAGGGCTTCCCAGGAAGAGAGCAAAGAGCAGCAGAGATGAAGCTGCTCAGATCAGAGAATGAGGGTGAGGACTTCGGGAAGTACCAGTACCATTCTGGGGCGGGCGGGGGGGGGAAGCACTTACCTTCTACATTTTGGAAAAGTACATCAAGAGAACGTGAAACAGGGTGGAAGTCTCCAGCGAGATAAAAAACCAAAAGCTAGCGGGTGGCTCAGTTGGTTAAGCGACTGCCTTCGGCTCAGGTCATGACCCCGGAGTCCCGGGATCGAGTCCGGCATCGGGCTCCCTGCTCAGCGAGGAGTCTGCTTCTCCCTCTGACCCTACCCCCTCTCATGTACTCTCTCTCATTCTCGCTCTCTCAAACAAATCTTTAAAAAAAAAAAAAAAAAGCTAGCTAAATAAAAGTCAGTAAGTCCAGAAACAAAAATGACACAAACGGTGAGCAATATTTAAATAGCCATAATACTCATAAGCATTGGAGAGTACCATAACCGGAAACTCTGATAGGCTACGTGGGGGAGGACCAGAGGAGCAAAGGTTCGGAGCTGGCAGATCAGAGTGGGGGCAGTAGTAAGCTGGAACCTTCAGAAAGGACACCGGAACATTTATGAAGATGACGACTTAGGATACAGCTCTGTAGGCATCTTCCTTAGTAACATGAAGGCGAGAGGAAAGAGCTAAGAGCCGAAAGGAGTGAGTGAGAAGGAAGGAGTATGGTAGGCATTTTGGGCTTTATGCAATTTGGATTTCAGTACAATAGAAATTTTTTAACTATTTGTAGTGTTTTGATTAAAAATTTTATGAAAGATACCAAATGGGAAAAAGTCAGTTCAAGGCACAAAGACAGGACTTTGCACACTGCACCTCGAGAACAAGGCAGGTGTGTTATGACCACCGACTTCCACGTAAACGATCTTACCTGTTGGTTCAGTTCAATGTTTGGTTGAGTAAACAGCACTTCCACTATGTCTGAAATTCAAAGAGGAAAGATATTTTTTTAAGAAAAAAAAGGAAACGGCTGACAAGGCTAGGCATAATAGTTTTAAAAGAGAGGGTTCTTTAGAAGAATCTTCAAGAACATCCTTATAACAAAATTTTTTAAATTTATGTAAGTACAAGACTTAAGAACCTAAAAAGTAGAATTATCTAGGGAAAAGTTGCTTTCAAATAATCTGGCTTTTGCATTTTGACACGGGGCAACCACTGTAGAACTCTCTACATTTGCTATGCCACTTTATATTCATTTAACTAATCTGTGTTTATGAGCTAATATAAGATCGGCTTCCTTTTGGGGAACGGCCAGAAACTTTCCTTTGGCTCTGCTATTTAATCTGCTGGGTGCTTTGTTTCTGATTGTGGTGTCTGTTTTGTGTGTATGTTATAGGGAGAGGTAAATGGGTGTGGCTGATGTTTTGTCAGGCTGAAACTGCCCTAGAAATTCCACTTGTTGTATTATTGATTATAACTGAGAAGGTTACCAACGCTTACTAACTTAAGCAAATGCCGTCTTTCTCCTACATCGAACAGCGTGCATTCAACTTAAAATGTACCTCACGAAAGCGTATCTTGGGAAAAGCTAAGCTGGAGGAGTCACTCCTGCCCCTTTCTTCTGTAAGATTATATTGTGGGGTTTGTTTTTACATGACTATTGTTTTCCTGTCACCTTTCTGAGCCCAGGAGAAGAAAGGAAGTTTCCAGTCTTCAAAGTGAGAGAGGTCCATGAAGGGAGCATTCTGCCTACTGCTTCACAAGGCTTTTGGCCCATGTTCTAAAGGACTTGAAAAGAATCATCTGTTTTTTCATTTCTGTAAATCCATCACCTCTCTGTGGAGCACCGTTTCAGGAACATGGACTCTAAGGACAACACACAGAAGACAGTACCTTTATGCCCCCCGTGGCAGGCCCAGTAGAGGGCGGTGCTTCCAGCTTTGTCCAAACCATTAACACCGACTCGGTTGTCCAAACACTCTCTCAACCAGCTCAGGTTGCCTGAAAAAATTTCACATTTATAAAAACACGAGAAAAAGGGTTTGGTGTTTTGTTTTGTCTGCTTTGGAATCCATTGCATCCTCCATAAATTCCCATCTAGAATGGATTCGTCAGCAAGTCTGAAATGAAGACCTGCCCAGTAATGCATTCATTATGGTAGATTTTCGCTTCCACTATATTAATGAAAAGTATTAACAACAACTTGGGGGTGGAGGAGGGTAGGAAAGGCTTAAACAGCACAAATTATTTGTCACCACTCTGGGAAGTCCAGAGTCAAGGTGCTGGCAGATTCGGTGTCCGGTAAGAGCCTGCTTCCTGGTTCGTGGACACTGTCTTTCCACCCCTTGGACAGAAAGAGCAGGGGAGCTCCCCGGGGTCTCGACCGGTACTGGTTCCATTCACGAGGGCAGAGCCCACCAAAGGCCCTACCTCCAAACACCACCGCACTGGGGTTAGGTTTCAACATCTGAATCTTGAGGGATGCAAACATTCAGTCTATGGTACATACAGACTGGCCACACATACATGCTGATCAGTGTCGATGTAAGTGACAAAATACGAGTAAGCTCTGTGGGGCTGTACAACATCAACTTTTAATGGTCGGTTAATGGGAAGAGTTGCCTAAATGAGTCTACGTATGGTTGTCTGACTCCGTAAAAAATACATACATGTAATTTTTTCCTTTGTGAAATCCTAGAACTTGGGGGGGAAAACAGTCAAACCTAAGAACAAGGAGATACTATTCATTTTCATATTAAAATGTACTTTCAGTTCTGATAAGAAAATACGGAAATAAACACAAAATAACCTGCTCAGAGCTGCTGCTCTCATAGTAAATTTAACTATTAATTTAAAATCCTCTGGCGAATGCCCCAAATATCTAATTTGCAAATCACTTTGTTCTTTAGTTTCAGGTTTTTATTTAAATTCCAGTTATCAGGGCGCCTGGGTGGCTCAGTCGTTAAGTGTCTGCCTTCGGCTCAGGTCATGATCCCAGGGTCCTGGGATCGAGCCCCACATCGGGCTCCCTGCTCCGTGGGAAGCCTGCTTCTCCCTCTCCCTCTCCCCCTGCTTGTGTTCCCTCTCTTGCTGTGTCTCTCTGTCAAATAAATAAATACAATCTTAAAATAAATAAATAAATTCCAGTTATCAAACATATAGTGTAATATTAGTCTCAGGTACTAATGATAAATGTCAGCTTAGTAGGTCTACCTATGCACCATTCTAAGCCAATATTTCCTTTTGGACATTCACATTTCAAAAAGATCTGGAATAGAATGAAAGAGAGCTCCTTGAGGCCTTATAAAAACTCCCCACGTCCACAGCAGGGCTTCTCAACAGTGGCCCTATCAACGGTGGGACTGGAGAATTCTTTGTTGTGGGGCTGACCTGTGCCCTGTAGCTATGTCCCCAGCATCTACTACCCAAAAGGTGTCAGGAGCATTCCCAAGTCCGCAGTCAGGCATTGCCAAATATCCCAGGGTTTGAGGGGGACACTACTGATGTATGGGATAAAGTCCCAGGTCCGAGGTCCAGCCCTGTTGCTCCTCCCTCCCTCCCCAGCTTCACCCTCACCCCACACACCTGCACTATAACAACACTCTCCCACATGTGAGGCCCACAAGAAGCCTCCACCCTCCTGCCCTCTAGTTACTCATCGTGGCCTCTATAACCTGTTTGACTTAAACATACTTCAATTGTTGTTTTTCTGACACCACCTTGTAACAATCTGTTACACACATCTCTCCCCTTGCCAGACATCCAGCTCTGGGAGCCACAGAAATGCCTCTCCACCTGCCACTGGGCACAAGGTAAGTAAAGTACTCAAAAGTGTCTGGTGGCTGACATTTAAAAATTTAAAATCATAGGGGAGCCTGGCGGCTCAGTTGGTAGAGCATGCAATGCTTGATCTTGGGGCTGTGAGTTCGAACCCCACGTTGGAGTGTAGAGCTTACTTAAGGAAATAAAAAAAAAAAACATTTTAATCACATTTTCTCTCTCAAGGTTGATAAAAGGCATAACAGAGATTGCCTCTGGGGAAGGTAGGGATTTAACTGGACCGGGAACTTTCTGGGATGACAGAAGTGTTCTAGATCTTGATCTGGATGTCGGTAACATAGGTGTATACACCTGTCAAAAGTCATCAAACTATATAATTAAGATGTGTGTTTTACTCCTGGGTATCTCAATCAAAAACAATCACACCTACCTCTCTTTGCGGCTTCATGCAATGGATTGTCAATGGATTCTGCCTGCTCGGCCACTAGATTGAAAATAAAAAGAGCAAAGCCAGTGTTGAGAGTGCCACCCCAGTGACTCACTGAAGCCACTTTGCAGTCCCCGGGCTTCCCGAGTGCCAGGGCCTTCCACCACACGGCAGCCCTTTTAGTGTGGATTTAAAAAATAAAAAAAAATAAAAAACAGCAGAAAATCAAACTGATGCTTCCTGCTTTAAAAGAAGCTAAATTATTTGCTAAATGAAACCAAGCTAGGCAATAAGGCAACACCACAGCAATTAACTGGAGTATAAACAAAAGCCACACGCAGTAATTAACTGGAAGTATAAGCAAAAGCAAAGAGATCCGTGGCCTGCATACCAGTATACTCAAGTATGTCATAAACTGAGTCACAAAAATGCGAAGGAAAACATTCGATGTTCATTTTTCCATTCTGTAAAAACACCCTACTTTGAAGACGGCCGAAAATAATTCTGTTTCCCTTGTGTGTGTGCATGTGGGGGGCACGCACGAGGGGGAAACGGTTTGCTTCCCGTATTTACAGAGGGCAAGCAGCATCCCTACCTGCCTCTGAGGCAGGTGTGTTCTCCTCTGTCCCAGAATCAGCAGGAATGACCACATGAAGACTGCGGTTCAAAACAGACGTCAGACCCAACCCCTCCCGCCATAAAGAGCAGTAACTGGACACTCCCTTGGCTACTGCAGATGCAAAGCAACAGGGGAACATTTTACATGCTCACTGTCTGTGACTGGCTAGAAATGGAGTGCAAAGGTTAGAGGAACACAGAAATGTTTTTAACCCAGAATGGCATCACCTTTAGACCAGGGCAAGCAGGGCCCCTGCCTGGGGCCCCAGACCTCAGCTCTCACTTCCCCTCCCTTCCCCTCCCCCTCTTTGCTCTCCTAGGAACTTTGCAGCAGTCCCTTCCTTGCGAATTTCTAAGTCCTGTGCAAGTGCTTGGAACTGGTGCCTGACGCCAGCCCCACTGGTCTAGGGATTCATCTAATGCTGACGTCAAAAGGAATTTTTGGAAGGGACTGAAATCAAACCTCTCATTACACCGCAGTCTCAAGGACAGCGGTTAAGTGCCTTCACTAAAGTCCCTTGTGATTAAGAAGTGGAAGAAAAAGGATTAAAACACTGTTTACCAATCCTGTGCTCTTTTTACTCTACTTTGCTATTCTCTACAGAAGTACTTGGGTCTGTCTGTCCCTCTTCCAACCAGAAGTGGCTTCATGGCAGGGGCCACCTCTCACTACTCAAGCTCCTCAAACGGCCTGGATACCCATTTAACGAATATAACTGCCCCACACGTGAATTAACAAGGCAAGATCACTTCATCACCAAAGAAAGGGCTAGGCTGAGAAACCATCTGAGATTTGGTTTAACAGCAAAAAAAAAAGAAAAAAAAAAAAAAAACATCCTAAGAGTTGGATAAAGGAATGCCATAAGCATTTCTTTGGAAACCTGGGGTTCTATCAAGCATGTTACAATGCATTTTCTTAAGCCAAAGAATCAAGTTCAAGTACCTCCAGTGCCCATTCCCCTTTTATTACGGAGAGATTCACAGAGTACAAAATATCCTATACTGGCAATGACTCCATTGATTTCTCAGCCCTGGCAGCAAGCAGAAAGGCTTCAGGAACCAGAAAACTGAAAGTCCACACAGTAGAAACAAAGTAATAACCACCACAGCCGTGCTTACCATAGTTGCTTGGGATGAGTCCAGTCCTGCCTTTGGAGGTACCTTTCCACCAATTCGTATCACTCTAGTGAAAGAAGAGTTAGATTAAGTGGCACCAAATCCAGTTTACGTTCAATCACTTTTAAAACCATCTGGCTCGGGGTGCCTGGGTGGCTCAGTCGGTTAAGTGTCTGCCTGCCTTGTGTTCGGGTCCTGGTCCCAGGGTCCTGGGATCGAGTCCCACATTGGGCTCCCTGCTCAGCGAGGAGCCTGCTTCTCCCTCTCCCTTTGCCCCTGCCCTGCTCATTCTCTCTCTCTCTCTCTCTCTCTCTCAAATAAATAAATAAAATCTTTAAAAAAAAAAAAAAAGAACAAACAAACCCATCTGGCTCAGGGACTTCACCTGCTCTACAGACTGTCCATCAGCCCTGGATACAACCATCAAGTTTCCTCACCCCCTGGTTAGGGATGTCCATAGGGACATAGGGAACGGACATCCCTAACCAGGGGGTGAGGAAACTTGATGGTTGTTTCTTTTGCTGTTAAACCAAATCTCAGGATATCTGTACTTCCCCCTATCATTAAAGTACAAATATACCCACACTGGCCTGCCACACACACAATACACTTCATCACAGAGCCTCAACAACCACACACATCAGAGATCCTATGAAAGGGAAGAAAACAATCCATAGAATTTTAAACTATCCATAGAATTTTTTTGTCCAGAGTCTAATTTCTCTTAGCTTGAAGATTTTTTTTCTTTTTAAAGATTTTCTTTTATTTGTCAGAGACAGAGAACACAAACAGGGGAAGTGGCAGGCAGAGGGAGAAGCAGCTTCCTGCTGAGCAAGGAGCCCAATGCATGACTTGGTCCCAGGACCCTGGGATCATGACTTGAGTTGAAGGCAGACACTCAATCGACTGAGCCACCCCGGCATCCTGGAGATTTTTTTTTTTCCTAAAGACCTCTTTATTTTAGCTTCATTTTTGGGAAAACCTTATTTTAGAAAAATTCAAACCTATAAAAAGTAGAAAAAAACAGGATAATGAACCTACATAAACTCATCTCCCACCTGCATAAGTTATTTTCTCCTGGCCAACTGTTTCATGTATCTAATCCACAACCTCCTATCCCTTCAGATTATCTTCAAATGAACTGTAGACACTGTATTAGCTCACCTGTACATATATGTATTGTACATATATGTACATGTATGTATTTCTGAAAGATAAGGATTTTTTTCCAAGGACATAAAACCATTAACATAACTTAAAATTTATTTCAATAATTCCTTAATATCATCAAACATCTAGATCACTATTAAAATTTTCCAGTTGTCCCACAATTTAGAATCCAAATAAGGGCCATGCAATATGACTGACTGATTTGCCTCTTCGGTCTCTTTTAGTGTATAGGTTTTCCTCCATTTTTTTTTTTCATTCCTTCATAACACACTTGTTGCTTAGTGTATTTGTTGAAGAAACCAGTTTATTTGTTCTGCTGAGTTTCAAACAGGCTGGATTTTGCCTGTTGCATCTGTGTTACCAAAAATGTGTTCCTCTGTTCTCCCTATTGCCTATAAATTGGTTGTTAGTTCTAGAGGCTTAATTAGATTCAGATTCAGTTTTCTGGGCAAGACTATTGTAGTATTGATTTCTTCCATCAGGAGACACATAATGTCTGGCGGTCCCTCCATTATTTCCTGGGGGCTGCAAAATGGTGACATTCTATCATTCCTTTTTCACTTAAACAATGAGAATATCTCTCTAAAGAGAAGTTCTCCCTCGTCAACTCTCAGGTTACCCAGAGATGAAGTTCATAGAGAAAAGGCAGAATCAAGGCTCATTATTTTCCTTAACTGAAGCTGTCAGAATTAAAAACGTTGGTTCCCTAGCATCCGCTCAGGGTGAAGAATGATGTTTGGGTTTTTTGTATTACTGGCAGCTCATGGATTTAAACATAGAAAATGTGCTTCAATCCTTGGGGAGTGTTGCCCTAACTGACTGTTCAAATTGTCCTATCTTTGACTAGCGGCAGCCTCTTCAGCTTCAGTCCTGTGTTTCTACTGTGACCCTCATTGTCTCTGGAGGCTTCCTTGCTTTCTAATAACATGGTGTTCTCAGATTATCTTGTACCTTTGCTGCCCCCAACCTGGTAACATGTATTTCTCAACAGAGCCTTGTTCCTTTGAGTGCAAAATAACATACTATTATGGGGTCGGTCATTTTTTTTTTCTAGGCCTTTTCAAAGGACAGAGCAGGACATGTTTTTATTTTATTGTAGATAAAATACAACATACTTGCCATACAGATGCAGAGCTATGGGGTTTTTATTTAACCTTTAACCTTGACCTTACATCTGTGTATCTTTTCTTGCAGGCTAAAAATCCCAGTTGTCAGTATCACTGACCTAATGACTCATTTGCTCTCAACCATAACACACATGCAACAATCTCAGCATAGCAATACCAATGCTTCTGCTACGAGATGATAATTAAAACCAGGTTACAGTTATTTTTCTTGCCAGTCCTTTTTGCCCTTCATGTATATTCTACTGGAGATGTTCGGTCTAACTGCTGAGTTTTAAGGTCACTTGGAACAGTTCCTTTCTGTGTGGTTATGCCAATTACCTGGGATACAATTAACTTCATTTGATTCATTCTGCTTTTAAATTTCAGGGATTGCTTTTTTACCATTTAATTTTATAACTATGCAAAAGTTCGCATGACTCCAAAGTCAGATCTCCAAAACAAGGTGTGATTTTTTAAAAAGTCTTTATTCCATGTTCCCTCTACCCTATTTCCCTTCCCTCACATAGAAGAAACTATTTTTTTAAATTTTATTCGATGATTCCTCCATTGACTTTTTGTTTTAAACTGAAGAAAACAGTTATACATATAACCTCTCTTAGGTAAATAAGGCATACTGTTCACACTTTTTTTTACCTTGCATTTTTTCACTTAAGTTACTCCGTAATAGCATTTAGAGATATTCCTCATTCCTTTTTATAAATGCATAATACTCTATTTGTGGATATACCGAAACTTACTCAACTATCTTCTTATAGGTGAACATAAGGGTTACTTCTAATTTTACACTATTATTACAAATTGTGCTAAAATGAACTGGGCATACGTATTTCTATACAGATAAACATTTAAATACTGTACAATATTACAGCTACACAAAATAGCCTGATTACAAAATATTAGCTGAGCTTACCATGTCAGTAATGTAGATAATATCACCTTCCTCAAAGTACAATTCATCTGGCTGAAAGAAAAAATATATACAGTTTGACTTCATGTGATTTTTCATGAATTAGAATATAATGATGACGCTAATAATTATATGAATTTCAAATCCTAAAGTACCTTACAGACAGTGTGGTTTTTAGATACTTACATCTGCACACAGACCACATAATGAAACATTACTGACAAACTAACATATGTTTAGAAAGCTGAATTTTTCCCATGATGAACTTCAAAGAGTTGCATACATAACATATAAGAACATCTTATATTCTTCCACAATGAAAGCAAGGCATTTCTCTATCAAAATAGAACATTAATAAAACTACTTTCTTGTAAAAATTCTAAAAGGTGATATACATTTTTTTGTAAAAGGATAAATGTCTAGAATTTAAAACCACGAAAAACAGCCAGGAGCTTGGCTCTTGTCTAAAGGATGAGGCTTCAGTCCTTAAATACTTTCATGTCAACATCTACTACCTGCTTATTTTGAGAAAACAACTATCCTACCTTTTCATGTTCACAGAGAATGAACACTTCATATATAAGAATAGTTAATACATAACTCAACCATTAATAAGGCTAAAGAGCAGGAAAATGGGTAGCAGTAACTCAGAACGTCCAGACCATAAGCAGCTCTCAGGGGTTAGCTGATGATACAGATAATATGCGCTCCAGGTTGTACCAGCCAAATGTCCTGCAAACTCTCTGAAGATAGCCGGGTGCTTTAATTAAGCATCTTTTTTCTATCACTACATTAATGCTTACCAGCATGATTTTGTAGGTATATAGGACCATGCCTATTAGGAGCAAGTTTCAGATCCTGGGAAATATTCACATTGTCATGTTCAGTGAAGAATGTGAAGCACAGAATTTCACACAGGATAAGATCACAATTATGCATGAAATATACAGAAACATTTTTCCAAATTTTCTATCATGAGCATGTATTACTTTCATAATTTTGGCTGGAAAAATGTTTTTTAAACAGGCTTTGATATTTCTGATTTTAGTTGCTGTTCTGTACAAACAAAACTCAAGCTAGTGAAACAAATTATCTCATCCATTCATTTCTCCATTTATCTCCTCTCTCAGTTACAGACCAGGGAGGTAAATGTGATTGTGCACTACTAACTTATTTAGTTTCAAAGCTGATCTGTATTATTATTATAACTATTTCCTCCTGAATATAAACGAAGACTGTATCAGCTATACCATGCTTTAAGCAACCACATACCTAAATAGTTAGGTGCATTATGCATTCAAATATAAAAACTACCAAATGATAATTAATGATACTTAAAAATGACTGAGTTCCTTTATTTTTTAAAAGATTTTATTTATTTATTTATTTGAGAGAGAGAGAGAGAGAGAATGAGCGGGGAGAGGCACAGAGACAGAGGGAGAAGCAGACTCCCCACTGAGCAGGGAGCCCAATGTGGGACTCATCCCAGGACCCTGGGATCGTGACCTGAGCCGAAGGCAGACACTTAAACCGACTGAACCACCCAGGCACCCTGACTGAGTTCCTTTAAAAGGTACTTCCTGAAGCATTTGTTGCATTTACGACTGATTTACCGAGTCTAGACTTAACACACAGCACAAGCTATGCAAAATTAGTTGAGCCTATGGAGACTCGATGATACAGATTTTATGATTACTAGAAATCGTAAAATTTTTAGGGCAAAAACTGTAGAGCCCTCTAAGTTCTTCCCTAATCTTTTTCTATCATGTTCTGATGATCTGTGATCAATAGACTACCAGTATGTGATGGCTATAGAAAGTGATTAGGTAAACAAACTATTTCTCTTAGTATTTCCCTGCTGCAAACTGGACCGCTCCCAGAGAGGCCAGAAAGGGGACGCACTGCCCACCCAGCACCCCAGCTAGACACAGTGGCCATCCCCGTAACAGGAAGGTTGGCCTTCGCTGGCAACTTCAACAACATTTGACCGTCTCTCCTTGAGATGGCAATAAGGGTTAAGAGGAGAGAATGAAGTAGAACGTAAGGAAGTAAGGAAAACAGAATATATGTGAAAGCTTAGCATTTTTCTTGGAGGGACTCTGAGTTTCCCGGAGTTTCAAAAGAGTGCAATGTCTTGAAGAGATCTCTCTGGTCTTGGAGCCATCCAAAGAGCATTCTTACCCTGTACCTCTCCAAGAACCAAACCTGCCCACTTATGTCTAACAAGGGGCTTTCGTGGAAGTTAAAGATCATCCCTACCTATGGTGTTGGCCACCTTTTAAAATCACAAGTCAAGTTTGCCTAAATTTCCACATGTAGAAAGTTCATTCACCCTTGAACCAAAAAAGCATGTTTTGACATGGTATTAAACAAACAGCTTCAAAAAAGCACACAAACAAAAATCCCTGTGATGAGTCCTTCTCATTTAGGAAGAAAAAAAAGTATAGAGCCTGGAACAATGGAAAGTAAGTGCTTCATGGATATAGGGTTTTCTTTTAGGAGGATGAAAATGTTTTGGAACTGGATAGAGGTGGGGTTTGTACAACACTGTGAATATACTAAATGCCACTGAACTGTTCCCTTCAAAATGGTTAATTTTATGTTATGTGAATTTTTACCTCAATTTTTAAAATAAGGGCAATAAAAAATAAAATTAAAATTAAAGTAAATTTAGAGGCAATAAAAAGTCAAGAACAGTTACAATTCTTATTGTCTTTTAAGTAATTCTTGTGCTTTGTGGTTTGGTAAAATGCATCATTTGGAAAATGTCACTCAGTACAGTCATTTCGATACTTCTCAGTGCGGCTTTAGTTTTTAAAATAATGGCTATTGTTCAAACACTGGTGAATGCCACAAGCCACCTATTAGGTGAGACTTGTTTTTCAGCTGAGGGAAGGACAACAGGCAGTCGATTTCAGTCAGGGGGAAAAAAAGGTCTCGCTATTTTTCCACCCTGAGGAAGGAGAGTGGACAGTTTATTCTCTTTTTAATCAATAGCCCCCAGACAGACAGTGCTACTCCCCATAAAATATCTTCTTCCAAAGGAACCAGGGGCAGTGCTTACTAACCTAGACGTGGTCTACCGAATTCTTCACACTATAGGTAGCAATACAGACAATAAGGTCATTTTCATGATTTTTAAAACTTAAATAGATTTTTATCTAAAATATTCACACTTTCCATTAAGAAACTGCTTGCAGGGCACTTAAGGTAAATGATTTGATGAGGGTCTACTTTTAAATTCCTGGCATCGCATTCACGGAACAGAAATGGGAAAACAGTGACACAATCAAGGAAGCACTTTATTTCTAGTTTCTTCTTTGGTTTTCAACCACATTCCTCTTTGCCCCTCTCCTTGAAGAACCACAAGGTATCAGGACAAGCAAATTGTTGGCCACTGCAATGTTAGAGCGATGAGTAGAAACTTGGTAATATATATTCTCATTCCTGTTTCATTTATTCTTGGTAACATATAATTCCCAAGGCATTCATTTTGTTGGTTTAGGAAAATATATATTTTATAAAAAATTTCAGAGAGACCATAACATCCTTATGAAACTTTTCAGATGTGTCAACCTGGAACCCCAAGAATTAACGAAAAGACTTTTACAAATCAAATTTTCCATGGATGTTTTTATTTACCACTTTATAGGACTACTAGGTGCCAGGCACTAGTCTGGACACTTACAAATATTAACAAATTTAATCCTCACCAGCAACATGAGGTGGATGTTACTCTTGTCATCACACTGCAGATGAGAAGCTTGTCCAAGGCCATACAGCAGGTGTGTAGTAGACACTAGACTTGAACCACGACAGTCAGAGTCTGGAACATTCACCAGCACCTATGCTTTCTCTCTTGCGGAAGGGTCATGCATAGCCATTACGAGTCATCAGGGTATCATGACCAGGTTAAAAGGTGGTGACCACGGAAAGTATCTGCTGTTCGCCCCTACTCCCCATCCCTACATGAGGCAGAAAAACAAAACCAACAGCCAACCCCTTACACTTGCAAAGCATGCTTAGCCTCGTTCAATCCTCAGGACGACCCATGAGGGGCCGGGCTGAAACATGGGTATCATCTCCATTTCATAACCAGGCTCAGAGGGGTGTTGAGGAACTTGCCACAAACCACACAGTGAGTAAGTGGCAGGGCTGGGCTCCTACTTCAGCTTTTGGGATTCCATTCTAGGGATCCTGCCTCTCTGCAGAGCGCGATAAACCTAGTCATGTCAGAAGATGTGACATGACAGAGCGGGGTCCTGCTGCTTTCCCTTTAGAAATCGACACGCCGCCAGCACACAGAGAATGCTGTTCCCTCTGTTCCAGTGTGTCTTGACGCTGGTCTATCCAGTCCAGCCGGATCTCTGTATAAGACTTTATTGGACTGGGGGTTGGGCAAGAATTAAGAACCAAACAGGCATGAGTGGCGCCAGGACTCCCCTGCCTTCGAGCAAGATAGAAGAGAAATGGGTTGGCAGGAAGAACCAGGAGCGACAAACTGCCCAGTGCTCCAGCTGCCCCGTGGATCACCGAGACTGAAGCTGGGCACTGCTGTCCCTGTCCCCTGAGGACAGAAGAGTAGCTCAAAGCTAGACCCAGGCCTCCCCGGGGTGCTGCACTTGTCAGCAAGTGTCCCGCAGAGGCCAGCTCAGCCCTTGCATCCTGCCTGGTCCCAATGGCCTTGAGGAGGCCAGGTCAGTTCAGGACGTCCCAGAGTGCATCCATCCCGCTAGGGGTGGTTGCTGGGGGAGATGACAGAGACAGACAAACGGAGCTTCCCGCATCATCCAACAGAAATCCTTATTCAGAAAAAGAATGTAAAACTAAACTAGCTCTGGGATGAGAATCAAAAGACTGAATCACTGGGCTAGCACAGGCACTTAAGCAGAGAGGAGGGCCAGGAGCTAGAGGCTACTTGCCCAGCCAGCCACCCCGCCTTTAACATCTGGATTGAGGGGAGGTGGAAGGGGCAGAGTGTGGGAGCAGCAGGTGCGCGATACTCATTACTGAGCACCCAGTACATCCTGGATGAATTAGCAGCACTGCTCCACAGCCGAGGATCCCTGGGAGCAGGGACCTTAAAAAATAACATTTTAAATACCGACTCTTCAAAAACACTAATGAATTAAGTATCTATTTTTTTTGGACATTCAATAATAATGACGATTTTTTTTTTTAAAGATTTTATTTATTTATTTGAGAGACAGAAACAGAATGCGAGCAAGAGCGGGGGGGGGGGGGAGAGCAGAAGCAGAGGGAGAAGCAGGCTTCCTGCAGAGCAGGGAGCCCCATGCAGGGACTCCATCCCAGGACCCTGGGATCGTGACCTGAGCCGGAGGCAGACGCTTAACGACTGAGCCACCCAGGCGCCCCTGTAACGATGATTTTTTTTAAAGAGCAGTAGTGAAATTCCATCCTGGGGCAGAACTGGAGGTGAATTAAAATAATCAATATGTCAACCCACCAAAACTATTTGCTAAATGTCTACAAATACAGCAACCACTACCCCTCCTAACAGTAATAGCAGCTTCACACAATTAATCTCACCTAAGATTATTCTTAGGGTTTTTTTGAGATTATTATTCTCACTCGAAAGAGGAGCACGCTGAGGCGCAGAGGTTTGGGAATTCCCGAACTTCCCAGGTCACATAGACGCTAAAGCGGCAGAATGGGTCCTAAAACCTAAGGCCAGCTCTGAACAACCCTGTGTTCTGCCCCCCCCCAACACAGTTGTGGGGCGCAGGACAGAAATGCCCAGTGTACAAGGCTTAGCTGGGTTAATCAGAAAGTCTTTATGGAAAAGGAAGTATGTTATTAGAGCCTAGAGAGGGTGGAAAGGGTTCAGAGACGGGTTCTACTGTGCATCAAATCGGGACTGGAATGGACTAAGAAGGGAAAGGGGCAGAGGACTGCAGGGCCAGAAACAGGCTGGACCACAGGGGACTCTATCCCCTTCAATAAAGAGGTGAAGCAGATGATGGGAGCAAAGCTACACTGTAGGAAAATCAATCAGGCAGAAGAATGCAGATGGAATGGAGAAGCTGGAGGCCATGGGCCAGAAGCAAGAAAAAGCACTCGAGAACCAAAGGAGGAGGAGGTCAGTGAGGAAGGACAAAGGTGAGGACCAACAGGCTACTGGGCGGGGGCG